CCCCAAAACCCCAAAACCCCAAAACCCCAAAACCCCGTTGGACAGTAACTAATATACAATTGTGGGTAATTGATAATAATCTACACTGATCAAACATTAATTTACGTTTGATTAAATAAGGTTAGAGATGTATGAAAGTAAGAAAACATGATAGGGTATGGTACATTTGAATATTATATTTTACTGAAAGTTGTGAAACAATAGACAATTTATATATTATTTAACTGCTTTGCCATGTGAGTGGATAAATAACTAGGGTGCTAATCTCAGAAGTCCTCATCGTCTCCCTCTGGAAGTTCCATACCAGCGGCATCTTCGAGTTCTTTGGTCATGGTTTGAATTTGATCTTGGTCAATGACGAGCTCTGATGGTTGAAGGATTGGGGCTTCAACAAGGGTGAGGTTGGGGTCACTATTATATGAATTAGAAAATTTGAGATAACTTACCCAACAAGTCTTCTAAGGAGCCAGATGAAGGGCTTCTCGAATTGATAGTTGCTCTTGGCTGAGATGTCGTAGTACTGCAAGTTCTTCTTTCTGTGGAAGGTGATTTGCTTGGCCTTGACTTTTCTGTCCTTGACATCGACCTTGTTTCCAACGAGAACGATGGGGATGTTCTCGCAGACTCTGACGAGATCCTTGTACCACTTGGGCACATTCTGATAGGTGATTCTTGAGCACACATCGAACATGATGATACCTGAGTTTCCTCCGATGCTAAAATTTAGAGTTACCATGAAAAATGCTTACTAGTAACCATCTCTGAGACCTCCGAGTTTCTCTTGGCCGGCGGTGTCCCAAACGTTGAACTTGATTGGCCCGTGGTTGGTGTGGAAGACCATTGGGTGGACTTCGACTCCGAGAGTAGCGATGTACTTCTTTTCGAATTCTCCAGTAAGATGTCTCTTGACGAAAGTAGTCTTGCCGACACCACCGTCTCCGACTAGAACCAACTTGTATTCAGCTAATGCTTGAGTTTGTCCTTCCATATTCTACATATAGAGGTTAATGATACAAGATATTGGAAGAATTTCTCAGATCATGTTTGGATTAACATTCACTGATAACTTACCTATTTGTCAATCTTTTGAATATTAAATATATAATAATAGCGGGAGCATATTAACTTATATCACTAACTAATTAAGAATTAAGCTTCTCACTTTCTCTGTCTCTTTAAAACTACATTATTAATAGAAATTTAACTAAAATGGCTTAATCACTCAAGAATAAGGTGCTATTATTAACTAAAAACTCCTTAAATAATAAAAACACATCTGAGGGGCTCTTAAGGTAACTTAAATAAATGAATCTGGATGTAAGCTCTGATCCAAGTCATCTTACTGGTAAGCATAATTTTGATTAAGTAAGAATTCAAGTATAGTAGCAATGGATTAATAGATATTTTGATCAACAGAGGCTCGTAAAAAATCTCTTATTCTTCCCAGAGGTTGAATCAACTTAAAATTTCGCCAAAGAAATGACTAGTAAAGCATAATAAGAGAACATTTAATCAAGTGAAATAATCGACGAAGACTTTATGATATTGACTGACTATTAAACTAAAGGAAGAGGTAGAAGAGAAAATGTATGGATATCTAAAGATTCAGGAGTCGATCCACTTGCCTCTCTCACATTTACCTTCACAAGAACTATTCCTTACTAATAGGTATTAAAGTTTAAACTTTACCCTTACCTGGTGGGAGTAGCTCTAGCTAGATCTTTAAACAATTAGTACTTCCCAGATATAAAAGGTGCTTAAGTATAACTAAAATGGCCAAATGATGCCTACTTAGGAGGCAAAAAGTTCTCTGGGTGTCTTGAAGAGGGAGAAAAATTGAATAGTTTGGATTTGGGCAAGGTATATATTGGTCTGGGTATTAATATCAATGAAGGGCATGGTTTTACTTGCTTAGCTGAGCATACTCAGAAATCACTGGAGAAACTTGATATTTTGAAAAGTTTTACTGAAGAATTTTTAGAGCTAGAAAAACTGTTGGGAATTGAAAATAATGATAATAGTGGTGTGAGAAAGTTATTAGATTTATATGAGAGTCTCTGGATGCATCATGGATAAGAAGTAACACTTGAAGTCCCAGAATTTTAACTTCCCGGTATCAGACTTAATGGAAAGATAGCAGGAATAACAGACGAAGGATTTTTAAAGGTTTCAGTAGGAGATAATCTTTATGAAAGCTATCCAGCTGATGATTATTCTCTGGATATTAAAAACAGCAGAATTATAAGAAAATTACAATGACTTTGAGATTTACCTCTATATATTAAGTGTCTATATGAACAGGAACTTATTGTAAATTGAAATGACCAGTAATTAGATAATTAATTTCTTAAGTTTAAATTTTAATATAAAATTAGAGAATTTTTAGTTAGGGATGTAGATAATATCTAGGTTAACATTATATTATAGATCATTCATTATTTAGGCTATCACAGCATTGATTTAATTGTTCATCTCTTCTTTTTAGTTGAAGTTAAAGTTGAACTTATATTAGTGTTTATAATTTTCTTTGAGTTCAATAATTATGCACCGTAAGCATTCTTAACTCCAGTTTAAAACTTGTTACTTAAGGATTTGTTTCCTGCTACTGCTTGTTTCTTGATATTAGTTCCAATCTTCTTCTTCAAATCTAAGCTGTTCATAGTTGAACCTCCTTAGATGTTACCTGCAATTGATTACGAAAGAGGTGTGAAGCTATTCTTGTTGTTGCTGTTTGTATTTTTAGAGTTGTATGATTAAATAGTTGCATTATAATTAAAGGCAGTTGAGACTCTTTGATTCTGCTTGTTCATATCAGTATCAACGATTGAACCCTTTAATGTTCTGTACTCTGGGCTCTCTTAAAAGTTGCTCATCATCAGGTAACTTTTAGCATGAGGAAGGGCTTGATCATCGGCTGATTCATAGTCTAAGTTGCTTTCATCTTGTATAACTTCGTCATCCTCTGATTCTGAATCAATGACCTACTCATCGAAATCACTCTCGTGAATTTCATCGATTTCATCACTCATGTTGTCTTAAGCATTCTTCTTTTACTAGCCAGGTTTATTTACTTGACCCTCTTATTTGAAACTGTCCATACTCTCATCCTCCAAATCCTTTCTTTTTGTTTAGAATGGCTCTTACTCATCCTAGCTTTCATCTAGTTTTTTGTTCTAGATGTAGCTAGTTTGAGAAGGAGGTTGATAAGACCTCATAGATATATTATCATAGTTCATAGTTCTTCTTTGACCATTTCCATGAGAGACTCCAGAAACATAGCTAGCTTCCAAATAATTAGGACCAGTCATTAGTCTTGAATTGTTAATTGTTTATCTTGGCAAGATTGTTTGAGTTTTGCCATGCACGTGCAACGTTTGTCCAAGTATTTTATTCTAAGCTAGATTGTTTCCGTAACTGATTCTGTTTAGGCTTGGATTTTACCTGAAAGCAATCATGTTTGATTGACTACTTACAGGTCTTGAGTTATTATTACTATTAAATAGATCAATTGTGATTGTCATTGGTGAACTTTTAATATTATTAGCATTTTCATTGAGCTAGCTGCTGGATGGTCTAAAGTATTTCTCTTTCTTAGCAACTGAATCCAACTTAATCACAGACACATTAATCTTCTTTGGGCTCCTGCTGTTGCTCTTTTCCTTTTAAGTGACTCTAGCTGATTGATATCCATTAAGGGCATTCTTCGCACCAAATTAATTCTAGATAAGTTAGATGTTGGATTTACTCTGGTCGTTTTAGTTGTTAAGTTTCCTCATCTCACTTACGAAGGAATCATTAACCAGACTTCCTCCACCTACGCTGGTTTACTTTATTCTTGGATTGTCATTGTATCTTGCAGAGAATCTTTTGCTTGGGTCACTCAACTTGCCTTGAGGGATTAAAGAATGTCTATCTGAATCCTCATTAACATCATTATAAACTTCTTATTATTATTATTTGAGTAGAGTTATATTCTTAACTGGAGTAATATTTTTGGACCCGAAAGCACTTTTTGGTGACATATCCATGAGTTTTATGTACTAGTTTTGTTCCTTGATAAGTGAGTCCTTATCTGGCATCACATTTTCCTCCATTTATTCATGCTTAGAATTGAGAGCTTCATCATAGTCTTCGTTAATGTTAGGTGCGTGAAATGCGTAATGGTCTTCGTTAAAATCTATGTTAGAAAATGACATGTTCTTCAGATCGTTGCCCGGACCTATAGCAGCATCTTTATAAGCATCAAAGCTTGAATTACTTATTTTCTCAGCGCTTAGTTTCAAATTATTCGATCGAAGCGTTCCGAACTATGGATACTACGGACTGTTCAGGCTTAAGTCCGTAATAGGTGTCATAGCCGCATTTTTAGGCTTCGTACTTGTTACTTTTTTAGACTATGTTCTTGCTCTTCTTTGCCCTGTTTATTAATTAATTTAAATTGAATCTTACTCTCTTTGAATTTCTCTAGGAAGTCGGTTGATTGAATCGTTATTGCCTCTTTTTCTCTGCTTTAACAGCAGCTTCCTCCGTTGCCCATTAATTCTATTGTCCAAATATAATTAATTATTTTGAAATAATTTAAACTCCTCAACCATTGATCAATCATCAATCCATATGAATTTCACTTGATGGGGTTTTGGGGTTTTGGGGAGATCGGAAGAGCACACGTCTGAACT